TAAAGCAGCCAGCCACATTGATATTGGTAAAATTTTAAGAAACTGTACTGTCTCCAATGGTTCTTGAAAGCCCATTGCCATTATCTTTTTACCAATCATCTCCTTCAGGGTATCATACGTGTCACAAGGACCGACATTACTGTAACTTCAAACAATTCCCCTAAGGATGCTTTAGGCCGATAGAGCATCACCCCTGTCCAGCACCATCTTTCACATTAAACATCCCCCTTTTTCGGGTAGATGCCCCGGGGTTTACGAGGGGTCCCATGCCTTAGGTTGTTTTCCGCTTTGGCCAAGGGAAAATCTTACCCGTCTTAGGGAACCCCCCTTCGTGCCCACCGGTCAACTGCCACTCACACTGCAAGCTCCTGTGCAGGCTTCCTCCTTGATTCAGAATTTTCTGCAAACTTGGGAAAGTGCAGTCAAGAACCATGAAAGCCATTGAGACTACCTACTAGAATTCAAACATTGAGACAGGTTAATCAAACACTTAAATCAACTGAATATCAAGCTGAGATTATTCAGGGAGTTTAGATATCACCCTGATCCATTCAGTGTCAGGGTCTGCTACCTCAGTACAGCCATCAGGCCCTGTATGTGATGGTGGAGACTAAGGATAAGACAAAAGTTACAAACAGTAATAAACCACTGAAGACAAGACAAGAAATTTCCAAACAGTAATAACAACTGTTCAAATTAATTGTCTCTATAGCTTAGGGGGTATATTATTGTTTTTCAAGATGCTTTAACAAAAGCATTTTCATTCATTCATTTCTCTGTTTGCTTAGTCTCTTTATTAATCCGGGGTCGCCACAGCGGAATGAACTGCCAACCTATCCAGCACGTTTTTATGCAGCTGGTGCCTTTTCCAGCCGCAACCCATCACTGGAAAAACAAACAAAAGCATTTTGCAATCTCTTATTTGTTAACTTTGATTTTTAATTACTAATACATCTATTAGTGTTTACAAATTGAAATGTAGAATTTCTGTATTCATTCTAGCATTTCCTTTACTTTTTGATTTCCAACTGAGCACTGTGCTTATCAATTGTTATGGAACAGGCAGATAGCAGCTCTTAGCTGACATCTAATGAGAGAGAAAGAGAGTTTTGAGCAATCTAGAACGAAAATGCATGTTTACTAAATTTGAACATACATTAAACATAACATTAACCTCAATAACATAATTTCATTGTAATATCTTTTTACTCAAGCCCGTCCTAAAACATATAAACAGAGTTGACATGCATTTTCAAAGTAATGCTATTACAGTCAACAATAGTTTTAGATCTTTCACGCCTGTTTCACACCGCAAGCGTCAGCGGCGCGTGAGCAGAGCGTGAGCAGCGCGTGTGTTTTCGGCGTTCATGTTAACAGATTAGAGCTTTCATACCGCACGCAGCAGCAGCGCGTCAGAGCGAGGCGTGAGCGTCGCCGAAGCAGCAGTGCAGTGATAGTTTCGGCGCTGGGTCTATTTTTGACGCGCTGCTCACGCTCAATTAAAGTGACAGTGCATTGAGAATGACCAAAACACATTGAATGACAGTGAAAACTAGCAATTTTACCAAATAAATGCGTTAATAATGTCAAATGGTTTATATATAGTCAATCAAATGAACTTAAAACAATTAAAAACGGCAACAAACATTTATTTAGGCCCGAACTACAAAACCAAATGTAAAACTATTTTACTATCAGTTTTGCTGAAGTTGCACACTAGTGTTGTAAGAGAGGGGAAATGGAATATTTACGGGATTTGTAGTCCATAGTGAAGTGTATTGTGGGTAGTGTAGTTCGACACGCATGCTGGATTATGTGTGCTCGCTGTGTTCTGTGCAGCTGAGCAGAGCAAGAAAGTTTTAATCGGCTTTGTTTTATGTTCACTCGATTTATTCCTACCGGGAGCTGTTTGCACTGTGAATCTGACAACACGAAAATAAGTAAAAGAATGGCATGCATTAGTTACTTTTGTCCGTCTCATCATCTGCACAAGCATGAATTAACGAGCTGTTATTCTGCCGCTGGACATCACTGAAGCGGAAAAAGTAATACTAGTTTGATCATATATAAATATCATTATAACTATATTGTATAAATATGATTATAACTAGGTCTACAGCAACTTGATAATCAAAAAACAAATGACATATCACAGGCGATTGTCCTCTGACTGTAGACACTTCTCATATAAGTTAGCTTGAGAAGCATACAGTACTATTTGATCTATAAAATTAGTAAAATAAACATTTGCAGGTTAAAGAAACAGCATAGGAGGGGCCTTGGTGCAGATGAAAAGTTTAAAAAGTGTATTTGAGAGACATGGATAACTAGATAGAATAGACAGATAGGTTGATCTCTGCAGCAGCTGCCGAAGAGCTGCGCGCTGCAGACGCAGTGTGTAAGGCAAACGCCTGCGTGCTGCTACTGCTCGACATACGCTCTGCTCACGCGCCGCTAACGTTTGCGGTGTGAAACAGGCGTCAAGGGTTAACTGCATCCATCAAAGTATTATTTGAAACCCCCATTTATGTTACATATATATTATTAAAAATACATATATCCAACCATAAAGCTGCTTGTTTGCACAGACTTAGATGGCTCATTTTCTTTCTTTTTTTTTTTTATTCAGACATGTCTCTGTTACTTTTACAGCCAAAACCAGTCATGTTGAGGGCTAAACCAAGATAGCAGTGCAGTCACACAGAATCTTATCTTCTAAGACAAAACATAAGCTATTCTTTATTCCCATAATGTTACTGTCAGTTTCTGTGCTTAGTTTTTGCTACTAGCCCCTCAATATTTAGATTTTAGCTTTTCAATGACAACTAAATGTCAAAGGAATACTTTTTTTTTTTTAAATCAGTTCCAAAATAATTTTAAACCTGAGAGCTTAGCTGAGGCATTTACTGCATTCTGCTCTCATATATTTCTTTTTATATCAGAGTTCAACACCAAAAGCAACAAGAAATTGAGAGGGCACTCTTACCAACAGTGCTTGGCTTCTGCTTGATGAATCTGCAAACCTTCCCAAGATGTGCAAACTGTCCAGACCGGTCCAATCCAGTTAGGGTCATAATTTTCTCGGGATTGCTCCTGGTGCATCATTGATCAATCAACCTCACCCTGATATTTCTAGGTATTTTGTCTGACTTTTGTGGCCACTACCACCTAATGGATCCCTATTATAATGTTATTTGTTATTTTTATTCAATTATTTCTTTCATTAATTATCTGACCTACACTATTCTTATTACACTTTATTACACTCTTGGGTTAATTTAGTCCACTATTGAAAAAAAAAAAAAGTTTTATCCCCGAGAATGTCTTAAAACACACCCATCAACTCAGTATTTTAACTCTGGGTGAAAGAGAAGGTACACCTCTCAACTACTGTTACTCTTATCACTTATAGGTGTACCGCAAAAATGCACCAGCTCACTAAGGGATTCCACACAAATCTACCACAAATTTCTGTGAATCCACCGGCGCCTTTTATTTACGGCTGAATGAGAAATCCACACTTTCATTTACGTCTAAATGAGAAACCAACAGCGTTCCGTTACTACCCACTACTTCACAGACAATCCCTAGTCTTATAATTTTAAATCTTCCTACCTTTCTTTCGTTTTTGTTGATTGATCAATGGTGTTACCAGTAAACAAGTGCCACGCATCCTCCACCAAAACTGTAGGGATAGTTTACAGTTTAACCCAAAGAATGACCAGTCTGGTTGATAAAGAAGAGATGGAGTCAGAGATTTTAAAAAAATAAATTAAGTTTACTGAAGATAGTTTGCAGTTTCATTCGCAGAAGCCAGCTTCAACACTCGCAATGAGTTCCTAGGCTGCTCTGCTTACAGTTTCAACAATCGAACAATTATACTCTTTACACAAGTCCAGAAAGGGTGGGATCCAGGTAAACAGTTCTCATTGGTTACAACAGAAATAGACAATTCTAAATACATGCGTCAAAGAAACATAGTATCTACTTCCAGATATGGATGGCCTTAATGCGTGCGTCAAAGAAAGCATTGTATCTGTCTCCAGATATGGATGGCGACCTGATGCCTAGAGGTGAGGTCGCCTTAAGTTATTAGGAGCTGATCTCCGACCTGTAAAAAGCTAAACCAGGAAAACAATAGACACAAACGACCATCTGTGTTAAAGACTCAAGGATGTTTCTTGTACGTTCAGCTGTGTTATCAGGCTGGTTCAAGACTGTTTCCATCAACAGTCTGCTGCAATATCTTGGCTACACACAGTCTGTCTCCACACAAAAATGAATTACACTAAAATTAATTATACTCAAAAACAGATCAATCAAACAGCTATAAAATAATAGGCAATATATCAGGACAATAAAACAGGTGTCTTCTTCTCTGTATTGGACCTCCAGTCATAAGAACAGATGGAGAGAGAGAGGTCTCCATGACCTATGACCTGGTTTGTGTGTCTCCTGAAAACAAAGTTAAAATAGACAGGCAAAAAGAGAAACAAGGACACAGAACATTCTTGCAGTAAGCAGTTTTAACTTATTCGTTAGTTAAAATCAATTCACAGTTAAATACTGAGAAACAGGATGATGAAAAGGATAAACGTTGGTCCATGATGAGACAGATTGGAAAGCAGAAATCCGAATCCTTCAGTAGCGTACCTTGTTTTGTTTGTAGTTTTGGCCTTTTTGTTCCATAATTCTAATTTTGACCTTTTTGTTTAATTAATCTGATACCCCTTTTTGACAACTTGGCCTGTGTGTGTGTGCTTGGAGAGCAGGAACAGGGACTCCGGGTGACCACTTTTTATAGCGGTCATCCTTAAATTTATGTGCGTAGCGGGGTGCATCCGCTACGTAACAGTACCTTACCAATCTTGTTAATATTATTTACGTGGCCAACGATAATAACATAACACAGTACTGAGTTAACCTTTAGCAAGGTAACAAGATCTACAGCTCGAGGCAATGATTTAGAAGCACATAAACAAGAACACAATTCTTACAAAATGAGAACAAAGATTTATTGAGCTAAACTACCATACATGAAACTCAATACATAATAAGCAAACAACAAACAAACTCGCACACACAGAGGCAGTTCAGAGGATGTAAAATGAGTTGACAACCATCCCAAATTAATTCTAATACTTCTAACAAGATCTTAGAATAACACTTGAGAAACCACAAAAGCAGAGATATAGCTTATCTTTAACTGTTTAAGATCAATCTGCACCAGATCAGCAAGAGACAACATTTGTTTGTTACTTGCACTTTTGCTGAAGATGAATCTCCCTCGCCAGCTGGCCTTGGGGAAACACAGTGCTCCTGATTGGCTGGTGGCTTCTGTGACGTCCTTGGAATTCCCTCGCTTGTGGGTGGGTAGTTCTGGGTTACTGAGGTGACGGACTGATGAAAGTCGGTTTGCGGAAGTTTCAAAGCAAATTTCCTTTGTTGCAGGGTGTCTTTAAGTGACCTGGTCTGATCCATCCCTATGGCACTGTCTGCCAATGAGCAATTGCCATGAAGGGCGGGGCCACACCCCGTGCCGACGTAGAAGGGGTCAATCATTAACACACTGCATGTAGATTTCACGGGGAAGAACTCTTGCAAGATTGAAACTATCTTACATCAAATGTTACAAGACGAATACTGTTTGTACTACTAGTTTTTCATTTACACCAACAGATTGCAAATGTCACTAGCTTTCATTCAAGACCAGATCTCATACATTTCAGACACACGCAGATCAATTTAATCTGCTTTAAGGGTTAAAACAACACATTGATTAACCTGGTTGGTTGAAATAACCACAGCATATGAGGAACATTATGGGATATTATTCAAAAATACATCTGCCTTAGTTCTAACATTTTAAGAGATTTACTTTCATTTGTATGCATTAATGTTTCTAGAGATCTCTTCGTCTCTAAGAAATTGTGCATCTGACAGGATGCACAATTTCAATGTCATTCAAAAGTCTTGTGAGGCAGTTCCTGCTGAAAATCCCGTAAAGCTCCTTTGTTTAGTTTAAATCATTTACTAATTTTGCTGAAGGGTACCTGGAACATCTGCAGCCAGAGTATTGGTCAGAATAACCCAAAATCAATTGGTGCTTTGTTATCATGATGGTTTAAGCCCTTAAGCCAGTTCAATGACTGAGACAATTTGCAGATGCCCAAGATTTCAGTTTCAACTCGTGTTGACCACTGCAATATGCCCATGAGTTCCTTCAATGTGTTTATTAAGGTGTGATGATTTGCTGAAACTCTCCCCACACTGAGTGCATGTGAATGGTTTCTCTCCAGTGTGGATCCTCATGTGGTTATCAAAGTTTGTTGAGCAGTTAAAACTCTTCCCACACTGAGTGCATGCGTATGGTTTCTCTCCAGTGTGTATCCTCATGTGTTGATTAAGGTGTGATGATTGGTTGAAACTCTTCGCACACTGAGTGCATGTGAATGGTTTCTTTCCAGTGTGGATCATCATGTGATAATTAAGGTGAGATGATTGGTTAAAACTTTTCCCACACTGAGTGCATGCGTATGGTTTCTCTCCAGTGTGGATCCTCATGTGTTGATTAAGGTGTGATGAGCAGTTAAAACTTTTCCCACACTGAGTGCATGCGAATGGTTTCTTTCCAGTGTGGATCATCATGTGATAATTAAGGTGAGATAATTGGTTGAAACTCTTCCCACACTGAGTGCATGTGAATGGTTTCTCTCCAGTGTGGATCATTTTGTGAATCTTAAGTTTGCTTTTGGTTGCGAAACTCTTTCCACACTGAGTGCAGGTGAAACGATTCTTGTCTCTCCTTTTTAAAACACCATCAGTCTGTAAATGAGTTTTTTCCACAATTTTGACATGATGTTCCTCCTCTTTACTCTCCTCATTCTCTTCAATTAGGTCTGAAATAAATAAAACATTAGTTTTCATTAAATCTTTAAAACTCTCATCAAAAGCTGAAAAGTGAAAAGACACTGGAAACATTGGCTACACACACTGTAATTTTGATGCACATTGAATGTCAAATAAATCAGATCATATTTTGTTTGGTCCATTAACGTGTACACATTTAAGCAGATTCAATTCAATTCATCTTTATTTATCTAGTGCTTTTACAATGTAAATTGTGTCAAAGCCGCTTAACATAGAAGTTATAGTAAATTTAAACAGTGTCAGTCCAGTTTTCAGAGTTTTTCATAAAAGTCATTTTGGTCATATTGATAAGACACAGATTTCTACGATTTGTAAAGCGGACAGTACTTGTTTGTTTTGTGCCTGACTGGTAAATGTATCAGAAAAAAAGTTCTGGGGTAAGAGCTGAATATTTGCCTCACAGATATGAGACATACCTGTACAGCATCTGCATAAAGGCTGGAATGTGCACCTTTCCTTTTGTTTGCTGTTGGGTCATTTTCATCCATTCTGGGGTGATTTTGAGGCTTAATTTGGCCAAAACGTTCTCAGTGTTTCAGCAAATGGACCGATTTATGGGGACATCTTATTTTGACATATTCTGGAAAAATACTCCATTGGCCTCTATTATAAAATGTTTTATAGTGCAAATAAAATACAATAAATAATAATAATAACAACAACATGGAAATCACTCAAATAAGCATATAAATGAGAGTAATAAATTCATCAAGACACAATGAAGTCCCCATCAATGGGAAAATGCTTTAAAAATTTTTTAAAAAACCTCAATACACTCTGGGCAAATTTACTCCCTTTTCGTTATATTCATGGCTGTTTTTTCTCCATTGACCTCTATTATAAGAACATTTTTTTTATTGCAAAGCCATGACAGCACATATTCATGAATTTATGATTGTTGGTGTTCTTTGTAACGACATTGTTTAATTGGTCCCCCCATGTGACGGCAAAAAGGAAATGGGTGAGAGAATAAAGGAGGAGGAGGAGAGATAAAGAAGGCGGCATTATGTGGTGTGTAGAAGAAAGAGAAGTTGACTGTACTGTTGCTGTGTGGGGAAAGGAGTAGAGAAGTCGGGTCGAGATGAGCAGTGTAAACTTAACGACTGGCTGTGAGAAACAAAAAGCGGAAGTATGTATTGAAGCAACAGAGCAAAGACTGACTTACTGAAGTGCACGTGACGTCGTTGAATGTGTGCGTCACTAAAGACTTCAGTGCAGTGTGTCCTGAACAAAATCAACTTACTGATTTATCTCCTGACATGGAGTCAGCTGCCAACTCACCGGCTGGGTTCACCAACTACCTCAACCTTCACATCCACATTCGCCATTCCCCACTCATTTCCCTTGACCCCTCCGCTCCGTGGGTAAGAAGCAAAAGTTTTTGTTTTCTTTGCCCAAATTCTCATTTTGTTTCTCTTGTTTTGTTTTCTCCCCGTACTATTGTTATCATTATTATTTTCCCCGTTTTCAAATGTGACGAATCTGCTGGCCTGAAATCATTTGCATTTTTTTCTTTCATTTGAGTTATAAGTGCTGAGGGTTCTGCGTTTCATTGTTATATTGTTTGTTTTGTTGTTGATACTGCTGTTTGTGTGTGAAAAGTATTCTTTATTAATATTATTGACTAATACAAACTTTATTTAGACAATAACAGCAATTATCTGAGTCTTTTTCTGGTTCTCATTGTTTGTTATTTTATTTATTTATTTTTTTTATTATTTGTAACTGGTGGTGAGAGCTAGCCGTGGTATATTTTGTTTGAAATGTATTTTGACAGATATTCTGTCTGGCGCCCAAGATTAACTACTTAAAAACAAGTGACAAACATATTTGTTTAATATTTGTTTATTGTATTTTTTGGGGGGGATCACCATTCCCACATCACCATTACATTTCCCTGTTGGGAAGATATTTGTGATTTTTAAAATTGATTATCAGTTTCAGTGCAAAAAAGTTTCTGCCTTATATATGGAGTTTAGTGTGTGTGTGTGTGTGTGTGTGTGTGTGAGAGAGAGAGAGAGAGAGAGAGAGAGAAAGAGAGAGAAGCTGGATTTATTGACCTTAGTCTAAAATGCGGAAGTGCGTCTGTTTTCGCGATTGTTTTAGAACTTCCGATTCAGTCGCCTAAGGGAGAAATGACTAGGAATAATAAATGGCAGAAAATGGTCAAACTACTTGCTCAACAAGCAAATGTTTGCATGACTATACAGACCAAGTAGAATAATATAATAAGGAAATATCAGTTTGCAACATCAAACAGCGAAAATAGCAGTTTTTAATGTCTAAAAATGAATGTAAAAAAATGAAATAAAAATGAAAGACCGGAAGTCTCGTGCCAAAAAGATTCAAATGGTTCCGCCCGCTCGTCGGCGAAGAATAAGGTGAATACTCTAGCCTGGCGCCGCATCACACACCACCGCTGACTGCACGCTTACCTCGCGAAATGGACGAGGCCTTACTCGCCAAGTTCGCCGTTGTGATATTCTTTAAAATGACAGGGGGCGGTCAAAAGAAACCCACTGTAAAGTCAGACGGATAAACAGAGAAGTAGAAAGTTTCCGAAACTATGTCATTTCATTAATATCGTTTAATGTTTTTAAACTAAATAGATTTTTTGTTTTTATAAATTATTTTAATGATATAAGGATTTCTATGACCATTCAAGATTTTTTTTATCAAACTTTGGTGCATCACTTGCTTTTGTTCATATCTCGGACAGTTCTACACATTATAATTTCTTAGAATATTTATGACAGCAGAACATGGGTTGCTCTACAAATACATATTTTATTATGGCAAGAATAAAAGCAAAAAAAAAAGTACACTTACTAAAAAATACATGTTTCTTTAGATTTAGCCCGCTCCACAATTCACAGATTACTGTCTGGCTAGTTTCTCTCCTCTGCTCATGCTAAAAAGGCAATAATGGTCCAACGTTTCTGACGATTAACACCAATAAAGCCTAGAAAAACGGCATCAGTATATTGTAAACTGATAGGTTCAAATATTCCCTGTGTGTTTTGTTTTTGTGAAGTTTCAGTGCACTTTATTGACGCATTTCATTAAAACAGGTTTCATAGAGAGAACAGAGGGAATTCTAGACATCTAATTGTTGTTGTTCTGAGATGTTGAGCAGTCTACAAACTTGTTGTGAGTGTTGAAGCTGGCCTCTGCTGATGAAACTGCAAACTATCAACAGTAAACTTTCTTTTAATTGAATCTCTGACTCCTGCTCTTCTTCATCTGATAGACGGGTCATTTTTGGGTTAAAACTGTTGGTCCCCCAACAAAGTGTATTTATGCACTCACACTATAATCTGCTGTTTTACTCCACTGAACTCCATATAAAAGACAGAAACTTTTTTTGAACAGGCCCATCTAAAGGGTGAATGCAGCCAACTGATGATCAACAGTAAAAATGACACATTTGACCTCTTCCCAACAGGGAAAACAGCAACAATCTAGAATGCATGATTATTTGGTGTCATGGCTTTGCGGTTAAAAAATGTGGTTATAATGGAAGTCAATGGGTCCAAAAACAGCCAAGAACATAATGAAAGGGTATATAGATTATAAGATTAATCGTATTATCATCACGATAACAATATTTTTGGCCCATGATCATGAAAATGGGAGACTAATAATACATAAAAGAATGACAAAAGACATGAGAACAAGTAAAAAATGAAACTCATTCCTGTCTTTCAATGAGTGCTTATGTGCATTTAGGAGAACTAGGCTCCACACTCAGGGCTGCAAGATAGATTAATTTAGTATTCCTATTATTAAAATATATCTGAATGAGGATTAAATGACTGAGTTGGTCTTTGAGAATGAAAACTAACCTGTTTGTTCCTGTGGATCTTCCTGTTTGACTGTAATTGTTTCTTCAATCTTCACATCTTCACTCTCCACTTTAATAAACGGCATCTTTATAACAGTGTGGAGATCAGTCGCTTCAGCAGGAGTTTTTCTCTGTGTTTGGACACTTTGTCCAGCTTAAAATGAACAAAACAATAAAAATGTTCCGTTTAAAATAAATAAAACAATGAACAGAAACAAAATAACTTCTCTTCAACACTTACTTTAACAGTCTCTTTGTATGAAAGAAATTAACAAAAAGAAATCAGGCAAGTCAGAGCAAGAAACAAAAGCCACAAATGACCCGATTAAAACTAGTACTCAATTTCTTATAGTGATGTATACTTAGAATGGAATGACATTATACTATTTAATAAAGTAAACTTTCATTAAAACACTTATTACACACTGTTACATCCCTGTAACTTTATTTGAGTATGTTCTTAATTGTTGTTTGTTTTATTTACTTTATTGTCTGCTTACAGCAACGTGTAGCATTTTTTTTGCCCAAGACAAATTTTCTCTCGGGGACAAAAAGTTTATCTTATCTTTATTCAAACAATAGACCTCATTACTGTGAGTTAAATAGTACTACGTTGTATAAAGGGTTAAAATAATATTGTCAACAGCAGGTACATAATTTAGCACTTAATGAAAAAAACAAACTTTAATCAATCGCTTTATATAAGTGTAAACGCTTTAAAACAATAGAAGTAAAGTTGGTTTTATATTCACACATTCAGACTTTTCCCTTAATAATATAATTTCATAAAAGTATTATTTGCAAACTCTAAACAGTAAAATCATATTAGCAGCAAATGACTATCAAAGTATAACATTGTTCACAGTCAAATAAACAGTGTTAATGCTGTTTTCAAGTCATATTTGCATGCTAATTCCAATCGAATATTCAAAGTAACATGGTAAACAATATAGAGACTTCTAAATGAACGAATGTGCGAATATAAAACCAACTTTACCTCTATTTTAAAACAAACCTTTCTCCAGTTGAATCGCAGCGCGGGAGCGGCGCAGGCTTATGACGTCACAATCCACGCCAAAATAAAAGCCTTTTTAACCTTTTTTTTTGGCATTTAAGTTACTCTTAGTCATGACTTAATATTTATAGTTTTTCTCTGCGTTTTGACTTTTTATCCTGTTAAAAATTAACAAAGCAATAAAAATGTCCTGTTTAAAATAAATAAAACTTTAAACAGAAACAAAATAACTCCTCCTCCAACAGTTTATTTATATAAGAGTAATTAACAAAAATAAATCCAGTAAGTCCGAGCAAGAAACAATAGCCACAACTGAGCTGATTAAAATTAGTACTGCATTTTTTATATATAGTAATGTATACTTAGATTGAAGTGAAATTATTTTATTAAAAAAAAACCTTCATTAAGACTCTTAATACACTCACGTTGTTCCATAGTCCTCTTTACTTTGAGTAAAATAGTATTACGTTGTATAAAGGGTTAAAATAATATTGTCAACAGCAGGAACATCATTTAGTATTGGATGAAAAACCTGAAACTTTAATCAAACACTTTATATCTGTGTAAAAGCTTTTAAACAAACCTTTCTCCAGTTGATTCACTTTTTTTTTGTCATAAGAAAAAAATATCTAAAATCACATACAAATACAAATAACACTATTAGACAGAAAGGGAAAAATATTAATATAATTAAAGTATTTATAATAATAATAATAATAAAATTACTAAATGAAACAAAAAAATTAAACAAATTAATGAAATTACAATGACACTTAAACAAATCACCATAAGGAAAGCAACTAAAATCGAGAATCTTCTTTAAATACATCTGCATAATATTTCAGGAATCATTCAAGAAACATTTTTTTTTTTTATTATTGTTAATAAGATGAAGTGATGTTAGGAGAGTGTTAAATTCTATTCTAAAATGAGCAAATGATGAGTAATTTTTTGTGAATTTCTGTTTGTGAATGAAAAATTTGCCATATAAGATTAAAAAAATGTATGATGTGTTCCAGGGATTTAGCTTTTGGGTTATTATAATAAAAATAATGTCTTTTAGATTAAAGCAATTCACAGCATTGGCAAAAGTAGATATATGAAAATTTAGGAGTGACCAAAATTGCTTGGATATTGGACAATCAAAAAACATATGTACAAGTGTCTCCTCTGCTTGTTCGCAGAAAGAACAGGAGCTGTCGATGTCAAAAAATTTGGAAATACTAGAATTTTACAGGGTAGATTTTCTGTACAATTTTAAAGTGTATTTCTTTTGCCTTGTTGGACATGCAATATTTCCCAGGTAAAAGCCAGGTTCTAGTCTATATCCTCAACCAAAGACTTCCAGTAACACTTTCCTCTAAAATAAATTTTCCTTTTAAATGAAAAATTTGACACACAAAGCTATTGTTAAGTTTCTTATCTAACAGACTAACACCTTCTAAAAGCAAAGGAGAATGAATATTCACTGAGCTCCTCGAGTTAAATCTACATTAACACAATTTTGCTTAACTTATATAATATATATATATAATATATATAATCTAACTAGACTAAGCAAAAAATCCCAGCATTCTAAAATGTATAACAAATAATCTGATGGGTGTTTTGAGCTGAAACTTTACAGACACATTCAACAAAGTACTATTTTACTCACAGTAATGAGGACTATTGAACGTGTGTGTAATAAGTGTCTTACTGAAGCTTTAATTTATTAAACAATATAATGTCATTCCATTCTAAGTTTACATCACTTTATATAAGAAATGGAGTACTAGTTTTAATCAGCTAATTTGTGGCTATAGCTTCTTGCTCAGACTTATCTGATTTCGTTTTGTTAATTACTCTCATAAGAAGAAGATAAGTTATTTTCTTTCTGTTCATTGTTTTATTCATTTTGCATTTTTATTGCTTTGTTAATTTTTAACAGGATAAAGTGTCCAAACGCAGAGAAAAACTATATATAAGTCAAGACTATTTAGAAGAACTAAAACGTGTAGTAATAATAAATACTTTTTACATGAAGGACACCTATTTTACCTCATTTTCTGTAAAGTTTCAGCTCCAAACACTCATTAGATTATTTGTCATACCTTTTAGAATGTTGAGATTTTTGCTTTAAACACTTAGTCTTAGTGGATTAAAAGTTTTTTTAACTGTCTTAAAATGTTTAGAGTAAAGGTTTTGATCAACTCCTAATAATGAATATATGTGCGTCTGTGAGAAAGTGGAAACGAAGGAGAAATGTATCAATAAGTCAAGACTGCAACAGTAAGTGGCAAAAAAAAGGTTTAAAAAGACTTTTATTTTGGCGTGACGTGTGACGTCATAATCCTGCGCCGTTCCAGTGCTGTGATTCAACAGGAGAAAGGTTTGTTTTAAAGTGTTTACACTTATATAAACCGATTGATTAAAGTTTCAGTTTTTTTTCATTCAGTGCTAAATTATGTACCTGCTGTTGACAATATTATTTTACCCTTTATACAATATAGCCCTCATTACTGTGAGTGAATTAGTACAATTGTTTAAATAAAGATAGGATAAACTTTTTGTCCTCAAGAGGAAATTTGTCTTGTGCAAAAAAAGTGCTATACATTGTAAGCAGACAATAAGCTAAATAAAACAAACAAAACAATTAAGAACATGCATAAAGAATAAAGTAAAAAAAGTTACAGAGATGTGTGTAATAAGTTCTTTATTGAAAATGTAGTTTATTAAATAGTATAATGTCATTCCATTCTAAGTTTATGGCTATATAAGAAATGGAGTAACGTTACTAGTTTTAATCAGCTCATTTGTGGCTATTGTTTCTTGCTCAAACTTACCTGATTTCTTATTGTTAATCACTCTCATATAAAGAAACTGTTGAAGTAAGTGTTAAGAAGTTATTTTGTTTCTGTTCATAGTTTTATTTATTTTAAACAGGATAAAGTGTCCAAACACAGAGAAAAACTCCTGCTGAAGCGACTGATCTCCACACTGTTATAAAGATGGCGTTTATTAAAGTGGAGAGTGAAGATGTGAAGATTGAAGAAACATTCACAGTCAAACAGGAAGATCCACAGGAACAAACAGGTTGGTTTTCATTCTCAAAGACCAACTCAGTCATTGGATCCTCATTCAGATATATTTTAATAATAAGAATATTAAATTAAATCCTTCTTGCAGCTCTGAATGTGCTACCTAGTTCACCTAAATGCACATAAGCACTCATGAACTATGTTTCTATCCAAAAATGGAAATGAACTTTATGCACAAAACTGGATTTTAGCATAAAAGATATGCGAAAAAAGCTGCGTTTGCATTCAAATCAAATCACTTTTCTTGTCACATCATCAGCAGCACGTGTGCTATGATGAGTGAAAAGCTCAGGTGCTGGCTCCAGACAGTACAAAATACAGACAGTTTAAATACAACAACAGTGCAAAATACAGACCGTGCAAAATACAACGACAAAGAGTCAAGCGAACAAAATCATCACTTCCTGAATAACTGGTGCCAAATATCAACAGTAAAAATGGAATTTGCTGCGATAAGAGAAGCAGGATCAATAGCCGCGTTCCCACTATCGCGTCTAAAGCGAGCGAGACAGGGCGAGCCAAGGCCAGTCGCGTTTCCACTGTCACTTCCAGGGCCTAATCGAGCCAAAGCGGGGTTTTCTCGGGGCCAGCGGCCGGCCTTTTTCGGCCCGTCGAATACCTTGGGCCAAAGTGGGCCAGCTGGGGCTTCGGGGCGGAGTGAAAGGAGAGGCAGACACTAGTTTTCCGATCGCACACGAGTACATGCACCAAACAAATAACCAAATAAAAAAATAAGGGATAGAAAGCATCGAGCCTTGTAAGCCTAGTTCACACTAGAGGATTTTAAGCCCGACTTGGAAGTTAACGAGCTCGCCGACAGATCGGGCTGTGATCGGGAAGAAATCTGCGGGTGCTCGGCGCTCTTTATGTGTGAACTACTGAACAACGCATCAACGAGGCTCGCTGACGCGTCGCCGACACCTCGCAGACGGAAATCCTACATTTAGCATGCTAAATATTCCAGAGCAGTCGGCCGACTCAACCCCACGTGTGGTCAGATGTAGTGACAAGCTGCAGCCAATAAGAGAGCATATCAGCATGAGCCGCATGCCTGTGTGTTCAGGAGCTCAGCAGAAACATCTGTGATTGGTCAGAATGGGCGTCGGTGCACTCGCTTCATTCTGCGTTAGCACAGACATGAGAGTAGGCTATATTAACAGTGGAACTAAAATTCTGTAACTATTAGAATTACCATACTGCTCATTCTGATGGTTCTCATATGAAACGCCATATTAACACAACATATTTACAATCAAAGCTATTATTGAGATATTAAAATTAAGCTTTGAATGTCTGGCATCATATTTAATGACACCATTACCCTAAAAATATAACCGTTTTTTGGTAATACAGCCTATAAATATGTAGTTAAGATACTAAAACACTTAAAGGTCTTGGCTTTCATTTTCACTTTCAAACAGGAGCTATTTCACAGCACAGAATATGCTGTTTTGAAAGATATCTGAAGTAAATTGATGTTTTTGCCATCAGAAAGTTTTGTTTATGTTAGCAGGAAGTTGCTAGGCAAGAAAATGCACACATATTTAAAGTCACAGTGAAAAGTATTAGACATGCATGCAGTCATTTTGACCAATATGGTATTTTAAGGCAGAAATGCTCAGTTCTTTACTGTTTTGTAATAAAAAAAGAAAAAAAAAACAATGTCAGAAAGAAATACACTGGTAGTTAAAAAACGGCAGGATGTTATAAATTTGTTAGTTTTATTTTAAATAGTTATAAAATTACAAAAATTAAAAACTCTGTGTTTATCTATCCACTAGAACCTTGCAGATGAGTGATTAATCCGCTGATAAATCAGCTGATATGACGATGTTTTTAAATACTTTCTCCAAAGCTTGAAACTCTGTCAGTGATGTCATCAGCACACAAACAGCCAGTAGTGTTCAGCTTTTTCTGACGACTCCTCCCTCTAAATTTCATTGGCTGTGGTTTGGTAGCTTGAATGAGCTGATGGGGAATGAGATGTTGTCAGATCATGTAGTCTTGTGGATCATTCACGTAGTGTCATTTAGTGTGAACACCACAGAGATTAAAAGACACAAAGTCAAGTCATGTAGTGTGAACGGCACAGCGATCTGCTGATGTTTAAAATCCTGTAGTGTGAACTAGGCTTTAGGCTGGAGTATTTTTTGCGTATGATCGCCCTTATGTTTTCTTTTTTAAATGTAAGGCTGTTGCATAAAATGATAAAGTTTTCATTCATAAGTGACTTTGCTGCATCCTCCTTGATGTTTCAATAACGCATAATAATCTTTACACCATATTAAAGACATTGCGATTGGCCCGGCCCTGCCCGATAAAAGCCCTGGCTTGCACATGCCCGACAGTGGAAATGCGGCTAATCTTTTCTTTATCTAATAAATAACTTGCACCTCAGAGGGTAATCCTGAAACGCAGTGAACGCGTAGTGGCGTTTAAAGGTGTCAGACGCGAGGCTAAGATGCTCTTAATTCTGGAGGTCTTTAATAATATAATAACACTAATACTTAAACTGTAAGGCGTATAAGAATGACCAAAACAAGAGTTCAGGGGCCTCATGTATTAACTTTGCGTACGCCAGGTTTCACGCTCAGAATCGCTCACGTTTGGATTTACTAACAATGAACTGAACGTGGGAATGTGCGCAGCTCCACGGCAGCTTTCTGGCTGGCGTACGCACATTTTTTGTTCTTGTCTGTTTTATTTCCATTGGCGACTCCTAGAGGCAGTTGTGTTAAATTCCTCTCTACAAAGTGTCTGAGTTCATTAGACGCTGGATTCGAACCGAGTTCATGCTCGAACGTGTCTAAACATGTTGACTATACCTTACGAGCTGCACCAATGAAACTGTTAAGGGTGCTGCAGCATTTTACACCTATAAATCACACTATTTATCTTTTAACTCCACAGTGCGATGTTCAGACCCAACTATGTTAACCGCATCAGCTAAACTCTCCCCACTCTATTTTTTTCTTTTGTTGTTAATTCCGGAGAACGAACTTGCAAATAACACCGCTTTTCTCCGGTCTACCGCCGAAAGCAGCACCTCCAATTCACATTCTGTTCAAAGTTTCTCTTTTTGCTTGCTTTTGCCTTTGCTTTTTCGTTGGGTTTTGTCAAAGTAGAGTCATTAGCATATTCATACGGGGGAGGAGGCAGGGGAGGGGTTTTGTGCTCGTGCATGTTGCGCTTAGTTTCACGTTCATTCTGATGTACAAAAGAATATGCGTGGGATTCAGCGTACGCAGTGTTTCATTTACACATTTACAGCTTTGTGCGTACGCAATGTTTTAGTATGATTACCACGCAAGTCTTCGTACATGAGGCCCCAGATGTTTTATAATGTACTGAGCCGGCTGTTTTGTCCATTCATACACATTTTTATCATCACATGATCTCTTATAACAAAATCACATGACCTTTTTAATGCACATACTGGAGTTTGTATCGTGTTTTCCATCGTGATTTTTCATCTTTTCTTATAGAATAAAACGTTTATCCTACTCAGTTATGCGCATACGTTGTTGTTGTTTTTTTGCATCATGGTGTTTCCATAAACAGTTTTTTTAAGTGCATAAAAATAGGTGGATGGAAACATGACTATTGAAAGACAGGAATGAGTTTCTCTCTTGTTACTTGTTCTTGTGTCTTTTGTCATTATTTTATATATTATTAGTCTCCCATTTTCTCTACCTTCTTAAGGTTATTGCTTTTCTTGTTCTCCTACTGTTTGTAAAGCGTCCTTGAGCACTGGCCCTATATAAAATAAATAAAAACAACTAATTAAAAAAAAAAAACTTAAACTGAGCTAAAGATATTTGACCTATAGTATTCTCATAGAAGATATCTGCTATTACAGTGATAGTGTTGGCTTAGTACTTTTCATTTGCATATGTCACATTGATCCAAATTAACTTTTTTCATCAACATCTTTATGGGTTTATACTTGTTTCTAGTAGATGTTACTAGTTCTCACAGATAGTATCTGAGTTAGAATTACATCATTATTATAATAACTAATTACCAGGGCTATTGTGTTTAACCAGGGTTTCTGCTGGGTCTTAAAATGTCTTAAATTCCAAAATCTAAATTTTCGGCCTTAAAAAGTCTTACATTTAATTAAATATTGTGTTTTAGGTCTTTAATCTTTTTAAACAAGTCTTCATTGTCCTTTGTTCATGTTTTGCTACCCAATCTGGCCAAAACCCACACAATCACCAACAATCCATCTCAATAAAACTTTCAACTTTTCATTAAAAAAAGTAATTTTAACTCTATTTGTCATAATGGTTTAATAATTTTCCTTACGATAACATTTATTTAAACGTGCTCCATGTATTTACTGCTGAAGACATCGAGGACAGATTGTTGTGTAGATTTAGTTTTTTATAGTTTTTAAAACTTTTAAAACATTTGTTCATTTTTAATTATTTTTTTAAAGAAAGTTTATTTAGGAAAAAAGTGTGTGGATACAAGTAAAGCTTGCTTGTTATTACACACAATTTAAAATCTTTTGCTAAGAAATATCTATAATATATATTTTTTATTAATTTATTATTGTATTATTAAATGTATTAAATTATCATATATTTTTTAAATAGGGCAAATTAAAATCTTTTCCATCTGGGCTATTTGAAAAATCCCTTAGCCTTTAGCCCTTTATGAGTCTAAAATTGTCATAATGGTCTTAAAAATGTCTTTAAAAGTCTTACATTTAACTTGGTGAAACCTGCAGAAACTCTGGTTTAAAGTATAAAAAAAACATGGATGCCCCAATATTAAATATGCTGAATGAAATGGACAATAAAATAATTAATTATTATAAAACATTGTACAGAATTCTAAACTATATGATGTTGCTGCAGGGCGACGTGAGACTAAATGAACAAACTATTGTGAAACAATACCGTTAAACATTGCGCTGACTACAACTGGCCAACAAACTAGTCTAAAAAAGACTTTTGCTGATTAAGAAATGGATTACAGCATGCTGATGATATGCAGAGATTTGAGTGTAAAGTTCATCAGTATTGACTAGGGATGGGAAGATTAACCGATATGTATCGATACTCGGTCATGCGAGTGCATCGGTAGAGCAGCAGAGGATGAATGAAATTTTGGAAGCAAATCGAGATGCATCGGTTTTTGCGAGATGCATCGGTTTTTCCAAGATACAGCTTATATTTTTAATATAGAATGTATTTTTTTTTTTATTAGCAAGTGTTGTCAACCTGTTTTTGGCGCATAATTTAATCGACCTACATAAAGTATGCCTTAGCAACGGATTTGCGGATGTGTACACTTACACTACAACTCAGTGTATCAGGTGTGCGGATGAAGCTAGTGGTGCGCCCTCAGAAAGCGCGAGAAGCAAAACAAACATTTTATTCCCCACTGAGTTTTAAATCTAAAGTATGGCAACATTATGGATTTTGCAAAAAAGATGGATGACTTTTTAGGACAGATGCAATTTGCAAAATGTGCCGCGCATCTGTAAAATACACGGGCAGTACGACTAATCTGATATCTCACTTGAAGCGGCGCCTCGTTGTTGTTGTGGAAGCATCTTCCAGTGTTCCTGCATCCCCGGCTTCCTGCTCTGCTTCAACTGTAGCTACCAGCTCCAAAAGTGGTGAGAAAAGCATTGAAAGTTTTCTCCATGCGCAACAGTTCTGCTCGCTCTACACCAATAACGAATGCTATTGCATTGTTCATCTGCAAAGATATTCAGCCTAGTGTCACGGAGAACGAAGGTTTTAAACACCTCCTGTTAATTTTTATTTATCTATATTTTTATTAGCCTGTTGTTTACAGTGATAGTGATGTTTCAAAGTGACATAACACTGCTAGTTCACGACCTTAAGTTTTGAATATTCAGTGGCAAAATATATCTTTGTAAAACTTGTTTTCATAGTTGAAAGGTTAAATCACAATTCTTGTTGTGCAATGGTAAACATTTATGTTGAAAGAGTGCAAATATATACATTTATAATATATATTGCACTTATACATTCTGTTTATCTTGAAAATCTTTAAATAATATGTGCTATAGGTTCTAAAATGGCCCTCTACTGTAAACTGACACTCTGGCTCTGAGAGAAAAGCCAGTTAGTAAAAAAAGTCTTGGTTTTGCTTTGTTAATAAATAATCAAACTCATTCAATGGCACAGCATCCTTTCTTACATAATCTATTAAACTTGATCTAATAAGTTAGTGCTGAATTATCACATTGTATCGTGATATGGGTGTAAATCGTATCGTGTTGCATCGCAATATGTCACAAATGTATCGCTAATATATCGGATCATATTCTTTGTATCGAGATGCGTATCGGATCGGCATTATAGCTTAGATGCCCAACCCTAGTATTGACCATATTCTTCACGTACCAGCAGGCGCCGCCATTGGAATCTTTTTGCTCTTGACTTTTATTAAAGAATTTTTTTTAGATCCTAAAAACAATGTTATGCTGCTGAGGCATGGGACGATAACCGTTTTCAAGGTATAACGCAGTTTGAAAAAAGTCGAGGTTTAAAACTGCCAATATTTTCTGCTGTACCGTTCATTGCTATATGTAAGTTTTTGTTTTTTTTTACATTTTGTTTTAAGATTTTCAGGACAACAGTATCTCCAGCAGAAAAGATCTCCAAAGATGCCATTTTAAATTGTAAAGAAATCTGTGTTTATAAAACAAATGAAGACAGCAGAAGTCAAGTATTCAATTGAGTGATTCAGCCTGACATGTTTACTGCTCCAAAATACTTTAAAAGTTTCTCAAAAGAAAATGTTTTGTGTTCAAAGAGGAAAAAGTGTTTTTTCTTTTTTTTTTTACCGAGACATTTAAAAGAATATATTTTAGAGGAGTAATCACAGTACCATAAAACTGTGATATTTTTTATTCAAGGTTATCATACTGTCAGAATCTTATACTGGCCCATGCCTAATGCTGCTTGTTGTAGCAAAGTCATATTTTCTTATTTTATTGTTTTTCTTTGTATGTATAGTCATGAACACACTTGTTTGCAGAGCAAGAGAGCCTGTCTCTGAGTTTTCTGTCGGTCTCCTCCCCTTTTTAAAAGATAAAGCGATATTTCTCACTTAGCCTTACATATTCAGCCACCTATTTTTATGTGCTTTTTGGATAGGCTATGAGCATAAAAAATTGGTTTGTTTAAAAGGGTTTGTTACAAGAGATCATATAATGATGAAAATGTGTGTGAATAGACAAACCAGCAGGCTGTATAAACATCTGAAATGTTGTTTTGGTCATTCTAAAACACCTGAATCGTTTCAGTATTCATGTTATTATATTAATAATGACCTTCAGAGCGTGTCGAGAGTGTCTGTTCTCTGCATCTCATTGCTTCAAACGCCAACACGTGTTCATTTTGTGCCAGCATTATTTTCTGAGGTGAAAGTCATTTATTAAATAAAGAAAAGATTCATGTAGCTTCTTCTACTGCAGGAAATTCAGTTTTTACTGTTCATATTTGGGGCCTGTTAATCAGGAAGAGACTATTTTGTTCTCTTTGATTCACTGAATGGAAACGCAGCTTTATTGGCACATCTTTTTTGTGACATCCCAGTTTTGCACATAAATTTAATTCGCTGTTTTGGATGGAAGCATAGCTATTGCCTACATTTCAGTTACACAAAGAACAAAGTCACGTTGCAGAATGGCTTGTCCTTTCTTGATGAATAATTACCTTAAATTCACTAACCTTTGACGGACATGTATTGTAACTAGATTAATGGGATTATTACTAGTTCTAAAAAGATTTTTTAGTCCTGCTTACATTCTAAATGTCAAATCAACCTCTACCACTTGATAGGGCTGTGCAATTAATCGAAAATTTGGTTTCAATTTCGATTTTGGCTTCTAACTATTATGAAAAACCATTAATCGAGATAAACGATTATTCCATCATATAGAACACACATTTAACGCCATCTTAATCTGAGCACTTTTATGGTCAAATACATGCCAATTTGGGTCAGAGTGCTGTGTTTAGTGAATATTCATATTAACCCTTATTTGTGTAATAAACAACAAGTTGAGAATCTAAAGACAAGTGAAAGAAAAACCATATCAAAGCTGCACTATTCTTAAAGTGACAGCGGGCAAAATTCCTGCTGCCGACTGTTTTTAGCATTAATCAAACAACAAAAGGAGAAAATCCCTCACTGCTCTTGACTGAAAGACTTTTGTAGCTCAAATATTTTTCTGAAATTGAAAACTCTTGAGGATTTAATCTCTCGTTAAATGAACTCAGAGATCAAGATTAAACTCTGAGTTGGTTGAACCTCCTTACTGAAACAGGCCCCAGGTCATCATGACATGATTGACAATTGTCACTGTTTGTCATTGTACTCTGTTTATCCTGAGAGCTGATGCTGAGTATTCTTAGGGTTTTTCACACTTCAAATTGTTAACCCTGGGTCATTCTAACCCTGGATAAATTCTGGGTTATCTGTAGTCACCTTCCACACTGCTCATGCTATACATGGGTTTAAAAAATAATCCTGGGTGTTCATTAACAGACAGTTCAAATTCGTAAACCCTCGGTTATCAATATTATTTTGTATATTTACGTTGTCACTGTCCCTGATTAGACAAACCGCAAGTAACCTTTTTAGATAGCATTTCTGCATCTTGTCGGGTATATACAATGTCACCAAGTAGGTCTTCAGCTAAGCCTCAGGACATACACAAAGACAAAAGTACAAATAAATAAAAAACAAGTAACAAAGTATGTCATCTTGCCATCTCCTCATCACTCCAGCTTAAAGTAAATGTGGCATTAAGAATTTAAGTTTTATACAATAATGCAAACTTGCAAGTATAAGCGTGAATTATGCAAACTTGCTATGGACATGCAGGATTTGTCTCAATCGAGGAAACAACACGTGTAATCTAGAGCGAGTGCATTTGGTTATTTGCATTTAAGGCCACAGGCACAAAAAGAGCTTGGTTTTCCTCTGACCCCCAAAATTAAATATTCTACAGTGTATATGATCTGATTTTGAGCTGAAACCTCAGACACATTCTGGTAACACCAAAGACTTATTTTACATCTTGTAAAAAATGGGTAATTGTAGAAAACTTTTAAAGGGATAGTTGATGCAGAAATGAAAATAGCCTCACCATTTACTCTCCCTCGTGTGGTTTTAAACCTTTATGAGTTTTTTTATCATGTTAAACACAAAAGAAGATATTTAAAAAAAAAAAAAACGCTACTGGCTTACTGTGTTCAACAATAAAGGAAAGTTTAAAACCACATGACGGAGAGTAAATGGTTAGGTCATTTTAATATTTGGGTGAAAACATCCATTTCTTGCTTGTCGCTTTGAGCCTTCATATTAAAGCTAACTTTTTTTTTTTTTTTATAGATCTGATGAAAGAACAGACTCATCAACAGAATGAATTAGATGAGAAACAGCAGTTTGAGAAACCCCAAGAAATAATGACTGATGAAAAACCCACACTGACTAAAAAGACTTCCTTAAATGGAAGACCTCGGAAATCCAAATTGGGGTGTAATTTCAGATGTAAACAGTGTAGAAAGAGTTTCAGTCAAAAGCCAAAGCTTGATGTTCACATGAGAGTTCACACTAGGGAGCAACCTTACACCTGCGAACAGTGTGGAAAGAGTTTTGGTCAAATACAAGGCTTTAAAGCCCACATGAGAATTCACACTAGAGAGAGGTCGTACACATGCCAACAGTGTGGAAAAAGCTTTTATCATGCTGGACACTTTGCAGCACACATGAGAATTCACACTGGAGAGAAGCCTTTCAGCTGTAAGCAGTGTGGAAAGAGTTTCAGTCAAAAGTCAAACCTTGATGTTCACATGAGAGTTCACACAGGGGAGAAACCTTACACCTGCGAACAGTGTGGAAAGAGTTTTAGTCAAAAACAAAACTTTAAAATCCACATGAGAATTCACACTGGAGAGAGGTCTTGCACATGCCAACAGTGTGGAAAAAGCTTCCGTCATGCAAGAAACTTGGCAGTGCACATGAGAACTCATACTGGAGAGAAGCCTTTCAGCTGTAAACAGTGTAGAAAGAGTTTCAGTAAAAAGCCGAACCTGATTGCTCACATAAGAGTTCACACTAGAGAGAAACCTTACACCTGCGAACAGTGTGGAAAGAGTTTTGGTCAAAAACAAGACCTTTACATCCACATGAGGATTCACACTGGAGAGAAACCTTACACATGCACAGAGTGTGGTAAAAGTTTTCCACATAAAAGCACACTCAATCACCATATGAGAACTCACACTGGAGAGAAGCCGTTTGCATGTGCTCAGTGTGGAAAGAGCTTCACAACCAAAACTAGCCTCAAGAACCACATGAATGGTCACACTGGAACCATAGTGTTCACATGTGATCAGTGTGGAAAGAGTCTCACACGCAAAGACTCCATTAGGAACCACATGAAGATTCACTCAAGAGAAGATCGTTTTAGATGCTGTAAGTGTGGAAAGGGCTTTAAGTGTAAAAGAAGCCTCAACACTCACATGAAGCTTCACAATAGAGAGCAGAGTCCTCAACAATGAGCCCTTGTCCACACAAACACGGGTATATTCAAAACGGCAGCTTTTTCATGTAGTTTGGCTGTTCATTCAAGTGAAGTTTATTTATAAACTACTTTCGAGAGGATCACATGCTTATGATTGTCCACGGCTGGTCCAGCATTAGCTAAAACATGATTCACCAATGAGATAATTCCTAACTCACTATGAATAACAAGAGTTTCTTAAAGCTGCGGTCACACTAGAGTTTGAGCTTGTGAAATTCGGTTGTACGGCGCTGTGAAAAGGGGCAGGATCAAACAATATTTTTTAGAAATAAAAAAATGAGCAATTGCTCCATGGTTTAAACTTCTGTCCAGAGAGGTCATGTTTTGATTCTCGATTGGTCTCACGCAGTCAAGTGATGTGATTTCGCAGGTCAGAGTTCACCAAGCATGAACTTTGCACTTCAGCAACCTGCGAAACTTGACGCATGACCCTGTGTTTTTGGTCTGACACATTCACGTGCGTATGAATGCAAGTCTATGGGAGGAAAAGCCCAGTGTGACCGTAGCTTTACTCAGTTATCTTTGTCTTGAAGAATCCCTCTCCCACCCTTACTCCCCCTCCTTTCTAGATTGGGCAACACGGCAGCCAATGATTAGCCAGTGGTTAGCACTGTTGCCTCACAGTAAGAATGTCGCAGGTTAAAGTCACTACTAACCAGTTGACATTTTTGTGCAGAGTTTGCTCATTCTCCCTGTGCTCGTGTGGGTTTCCCCTGGGTCCCCTGGTTTTCTCCCACAGTCCAAAAACACACAACCTAAGTAAACTGAACATTAAATTGGCACCATAGTCGAGCTCTTAGTAAGCCTTATATCTCCCTTTAGCCGACCCTATATCTGTCATTAGAATAGAAAGAAGTCTGGGGAGTTCATCGAGATCTACCTGAGCTCACACTCCCCTCTTGTCCTGCTTACGGGAGGTAGCCCAGGGCTCGAGGTCTCTCCCGGTATAGCATGCCAAACAAGTGTGAACTCTTGAATGCATATCAAGTTACTGATAATGAAACCCTTTGAACACCTGAAAATTGAAACTCAACTGAAAAGGGGTGAAGATTTTGCCAGCTGTTTTGTCGTGTAGATCAGGGGTCACAGCCCAGTACCAGGTTGTGAGAGTTAATATCGGGCTTCAAGAAGGCAAAATAACTCTATATGTTAATAGATTGTATTGGCTTGTTTCATATGCAACAAGTATCTGCTTCTGATAAGGTGTGGACCAAATGACCTACAGGAACTCAAGAGATGTGACCCAACCAAAGCAGTTGGGTAATCTCCAGGGGGGTTTCATTCTTTGTTATAAATTAGTGTCTCACAGACTGTACTTTGGTTTAAGTTACTTGAAGACGGACAAGTTAACATCACTGCTGATGAACTGCACAATTAATTGTCTTCAATAAAGTCTTCTCCCTTTAAGAACTTTGGTCAGCTTACTTATTTGATGTATTACAATCATCTATACATTGGCGAGCCACCCAAGAATGGTTAAGCCAAATACAGCAAAATCTGAAATGTGCTTCAACTTATTATGAACCGATCACCATATTTGTGCAGAGTTCCATACAATTCTTTCATGTTGTCACAACACAAATTAGGTTAACTTAACACTTTTAATAAATGTATTTGGACTGAACATTAAGTTGTCCCAATGAAATCTCAAGAGTTGTGTTATTTCAGCACATTTTAGTTAAGTAGTTTGAACAAGTAAAAAAAAAAGTTTATTTTTCTGTTTAATGGAGATAAGATTTATTCAGCACATTTTAAAACATAATAGTTTTAATAACTAATCTCTAATAACTGATTTATTTTATGTTTGCCATGATGACATTAAATTAGACAATTTATTGTATAAGGATGGTTTGTTCTGTAGACTATTGGGGGAAAATAGCTTAAAGGGGCTAATGGTTTTGTCTGTAAAATGGTTTAAGTATAAAGTTTAGAATAAAAAGCAGCTTTTATTCGAGCTGAAATAAAACAAATAATACTTTCTCCAGAAGAAAAGAGAAAGAGGAGACTTTTTTAGCCTAATATGAGTTTATAAATCTTAAAGTCACACTTTAAAAGAAACTCCATACCACCAACTTTTTTAAAATAAGATTTGGGATTATATACTACATCTAATTTTTATGTTTTTATTAATTTTTTTTTTTTTAAATGTTCAAAAAATATGCAAACCAAGTAGGCATTACATGCATAAACAAGGAAAAAGTAATACAATTACAATAATAGGCAGACACAAATATAGGAAAAAAATTGCGTAATGACACTTGTATTTTCTGTAAAAAAGTAAATAAATACAAATTAAATTAATAATAAAACAAAAACAAATATATTAGAAAAGTTTATGCAATATATGTATACATACACACACAGTACTGTGCGCTGGTCAGTTGGCATTTCTGTTTGGAGTTTGCATGTTCTCCCAGTGTTCGCGTGGGTTTCCTCTGGGTGCTCTGGTTTTCCCCACAATCGAAAAAACATGCGGTACAGGTGAATTGGGTAAGCTAAATTGTCTACTATATGCAAGAAAAAGAGAAAGGGGGTGTTTTAATAGGTTTAGATCTGGAGAAGGCTTTTGACAGGGTAGAGCATGATTTTTTATTTGCAGTTCTTAAGGAGTTTGGTTTTGGGGAAAATGTTAGAAAATGGATTCAAATTTTTTTATACAGATATTTTAACTTGTATTAAATGTATTTTTTTAACAGAATGTCTTCAACCAACTAGATCAATAAGGCAAGGATGTCCATTGTCTGCTTTATTATACCCACTGGAAGCTGAGCCACTGGGACTGGCAATAAAATCAGATAGAAGCATTAAAGGGATACAAACAGAAAACAATGACAACAGAGAAGCTGTGTATCAATACGCTGATGATACTACATCGTTGGGGATTTTAGAGCGATATTGTAAAGCATCAGGAGCTAAGGTTAATGTTGGAAAAAGTTTATGCATGAGGGTGGGAAGAGTAAAAGAAATAACACAACATATACCCTTTAAAGAAGAAAAGGAACATACAAAAATGTTGGGAATTTGGGTAGGGATGGATTCTAATGAAGCAGATATTTTAAATTGGGAGAGAGTTTTAAATGGAATTGAGAAAAGACTGAGATTTTGGAAAACTAGAAATTTGACGTTAAAAGGAAAGTATTCATCTTAAATGCTTTAATGTTGTCAAAGGTCTGGTATGTGTTAAGTGTAACTGCGTTGCCTGAAGTATACTATGAAAAAATAAATGATGTAGTTTTAAAGTTTTTGTGGGGAAATGGAAGAGCCAAGATAGCTTATTATACTTTGATTGGGGAGGTAAAAGAAGGAGGTCTGGGACTTTTGGATAGTTTTTTAAAAATGAAAACATTAACAATTAAGATTATTCAAAGATTTTTGGAAGGGAAAATGGGTGTGATTTGGAAAAGTGTGTTGGATTATTATTTGAAGAAATGTGGACATTTTAATATGGGATGTAATGTTTTATTGATGAAGATGAAGAAACGGATGATAGCAGGTCTGCCAAAATTTTATGTTGAGGTCTTAGAATCATGAGGGGGATTTTTAGAAAATGTGTTGATTATACCAAAAGCAAGGGCGCAGATTCTAGAACAACCACTTTTACTGAATTCAACAATTTTAAGTGAAGGAAATGTTTTATATTTTAAGGAATGGTGGGACGGAGGATTAAGACAAGTTAAAGATGTATTATATGAAGTAATAAAAGGATTTGTACCATTAAAAGTAATAGTGGAGGATGGTTATAAAAGAGTTGTTAAAGCAAAATTACAAAGACAATGTCATGAGTTGAAAAAAGCAATACCAAAAGACTGCATTGTAATAATTGAAAAAAAAAATAATAGTTGAGCGATGAAGATGAATTACTAGAGACCTATTTTAAGAAGAAAAATGGAGAGATCAATGAGCTTATGTACAGTTAAGAGTTTTTACGCTATTTTTAGATAAAAGGCTTTTGTAAGACCTATAGCACTCAACTAATTAACAAAATTTTAATTATTTATTGAGACATATTCGCATATTAATATAAATGAGTAAATAAATAAAATGAATAGTATAAATGAATAAAATGGGTATTAAACAAGATATAATGACCCAAAGGTTGGTGATTCGAGCCCACCCACTGACGAATTACACACTTTGCTGCCTTGCAACTGCTAACATGTGCACTGGGCATAGATCCTGGGCCACATTTTGTCCAGCGTTACAAGATGAAATCAGGATTTAGTAGAACATTGTCACGGGTAAGGAAGGTATTACTGTTAACAGTGTCTAGTTCTATTGGGGACTCCTCATCCGCCTGGCTAGTTCAGTCGGAACTGCAAAATCTTAAAATTGCATCTCATCAGCCCGGCTAGCTCAGTCGGTAGAGCATGAGACTCTTAATGTCAGGGTTGTGGGTTCGAGCCCCACGTTGGGCATTCCTGTTACATTTCTCTCTCTCTCCCAGCAAACCTACATTAGGGTTCATGTAGCAGACTTTGAGACAAAGTTCCCCGTTTCTACCACTGTAGGTGACCTTTCACTAAGTCTCTGTGGCGCAATCGGTTAGCGCGTTTGGCTGTTAACTGAAAGGTTGGTGGTTCAAGCCCACCCAGGGATGAATTAAGCATTTTGCTGCCTTGCAACTGTTAAACCGTGCACTGGGCATATATCCTGGGCCACATTCTGTTCAGCGTTACAAGATGAAATCAGGATTTAGCAGAACATTGTCACGGGTAGGGAAGGTATTACTGTAAACGGTTTCTAGCTCCTAAAAGAGCTTTTCATCAGCCCCGCTAGCTCAGTCGATAAAGCATGAGACTCTTAATCTCAGCGTCGTGGGTTAGAGCCCCACATTGGGCGTTTCTGTTACCTCTCTTTCTCTCAGCAAACTATCATTAGGGTTCATATAGCAGACCTTTTGAGACAAAGTTCCGCGTTTCTACCACTGTAGGTGACCTTACACTAAGTCTCTGTGGCGCAATCGGTTAGCGCGTTAGGATGTTAACTGAAAGGTTGGTGGTTCAAGCCCACCCAGGGACGGATCAAGCATTTTGCTGCCTTGTAACTGCTAACACGTGCACTGGACATAGATCCTGGGCCACATTCTGTCCAGCGTTACAA